CCCCGAGGGGGCCCCCCCTTGAGGGGTCCCCTCGGGGGCCCCCGCTTGAGGGGCCCCCTGGTGGGGCCCCCGAAGGCCATCTTTGGGGACCTCTTGGGGGGCCCCCTTGGGGGCCCCTTGGGGCCCCCCCTCCGGGGGGGCCCCCTGGGGGGCCCCTCGGGGGCCCCCTTCAGGGGGGCCCCCCTGTGTGTTGATGGCGGTGGGGTTGGCTAGGAGAGCGATTTTGTCTACTCTTAGTTTAGCGCCAGAAGGGAGAGAAACAAAGCCAGAGAGAGGCTCAAAGAGAACAGAGTCTGTGTTTGTGTTTATTTTGTTTGTTTCTTTTTTATTTATTTTATTTATTTTATTTATATTATTTTCTTTTTCTGGTGTCCATACACCCCAACACTCAAGCCCCAGTACCTGTGTATAAAACTCTATCATTTTTTCTATGTTTGTAGCCAGCAGCCGCAAATGTAGTAAACGCGATGACCCCAGGGGAGAACGATACACACCAGACCCTGCTGCTGCTGCTGCTGCTGCTGGTGCTGCTGGTGCTGCTGCTGCTGGTTCGGCTGCTGCTGCTGCTGCTGCTGCTGGCGCTGCTGCTGAGGATGCTGCAGCAGCTGGTGATATCTCAGGAGATGCTGCTGCTGCTGCTGCTGCTGTAGTTTCGGGTTCTGGTTGTGGTGCTGCTGCATCTGCTGCTGCTGCTGCTGCTGCAGCTAGACGGGAAGCAGCTGCTGATACAGAGGGGCCCCCTTTCCGCGTTCTATGCAGCAGCAAAACGGAGCTGTGCCTTTCAGTTGCTGCTGCCTGGGCTGCAGCAGCACCGCTGTTGCAGCCTCGCAGCACTGAGTCAGCATGTGGGGTTGGAATAAAGAAGGCCTCAGAGCTGCAGCAAAACCCCACGAAGCAAAACATTAGTGCTGCTGCTGTTGCTGCTGCTGCTGCGCGCTGCCGCAGCAGAAGCTGCAGCAGCTGCAGCAGCAAGCGGAGGGGCCCCCGAAAGGGGCAGCAGCAGCAGCTCATCGCTGACTACAGCGGCAGCAGAGGAACACAAAGAAGGGTGAGGGGCCCCCTAAAAGAGACAAGGGCCCCGAGCAGCAGAAACGGCTGCAGCAGACATCAAACAGCACATGCTGCAGCAACTGCAGCAGCAGCAGCAGCAACTGCAGCAGCAGCAGCAGCGGCAGCAATAGCAGGGGGGGCGGTTGTTACTGCAATCCAAGGATGCGTTGCTTTTGCTGATGAGCAGCAGCAGCAGAAGCTGCTGCTGCTGCTGCAGCAAACGGGAGAAGGGGGAGGAGGAGGGGCCCCCCCCTCAGCTGCTGCCTCGAGCTGCCTGTACACCAGAATTGGGGTGTATAGGCAGCTACAACAGCATCTCTCCACAAACCAACACAAATAGCAGCAAAATAATTATTATTTTTTATGTTTCTGCTGCTGTTACTTCTGTTGCTGTTGCTGCTGCTGCTGCTGCTGCTGCTGTACCAGGGGCCCCCCACTGTCGTCAGTGCTCGGCAACGAGGACGGGGGCCCCCCCCGGGGGCCCCCGGGGGCCCCCCGGGGGCCCCCCCAAACAAGCTGCTGCACTTTAGTATTTATTGTTTGCGTAGAAGAGGTTTGCTGCACCTTTTTATTTTGTTTTTTATTGCTGCTGCCTCTTGGGGGCCCCCTAAATTTGTTTTTAGTTTATGGGGGCCCCCCCCCCCACCGCCTACCATCTCTGTCGATGAGGGTTTGTGCTTGCTGCTGCTGCTGCTGCAGCAGCAGAAAATTTATGTTTATTGTATTAAATAATTAAATTAATTTAGTTTTTATTTTATTATTTTGAAAAATATTTATCCGCTGCCGTTCTCTCTGTGCAGTGAGTGCAGCAGCTCTCAGGTGTATCGGCAGCTGCAGCTGCGAGCTGCCTATACACCCGAAAGAGGGGGGTGGTGTTTCAGGTGTATGCGCAGCTGCAGCATGCTGCCCATACACTGCATTTCATATTTTCTTTTTCTTCTTATTTTATTTGTTCTCCTCCAGCCGCTGCGGTGTCTAGGGTTCCGGGGGGCCCCTGCTAGGGGCCCCTGCAACATTTGCCTTTCTGCTGCTGCTGCTGCTGCTGCAGCAACTGCTGCTGCTGCTGCTGCTGCTGCTGCACGGGGAGGCGTTTATAAGGAAAAGGTTGTTAGGCTCAGCTCACCTCTGGTTCACCCGAGTCAATCTTCTGGTGCAGCAGCAGCAGCA